AAAGATCTTACATAAATTAAAAAATTTCACAAAATTTAATATATCTTACCTATTTAAATTTGTATAGATAATAATGGGTTAATTGGCAATGCTAAGTTCACTATAACTTAAGGAAGTATATATATTGAATAAGATATAAATCCCATTGTCCCATTAATATTAACCAACTTAAGCTTATTAATTTGAGATCTATATTGATTGATTATTTTGAAGTTGAATGCCTTAATGTGTGATTTCCAAGGGAACATTATTTTAATTTTAATTTTTATTTATTTTTTGTTGACTATTTTTTCTTTTTTTCTTTTTAATTGTACAAGAGAGTTAGTTATTTTAGTACTTAGTTAATTAACAATTCTCATAAAATGGACACCCTACTCGCAAATTATATATATTTCTTAATCATTGTGCATGTTAGTAATTTTAATGAAACCACATTCTTTTCATTCAATTATTGTTCTTTTGATTTTTTTTTTTATGATTTGTTGTTCTTCTTTCTGTTAAAATTAATTCAAATCTTACTAAAAAGATCTGTAATGTGTCCTATTTTATTTTTACATGAAAATCTTATTATATACAATGGCCGTCTTTCCGCATTCATTTTTCTTTAAAATTAAAATCTAACTTTTCATCAAAATAAATTCGTTTGTAAAGCTGTTAAAAAATAATATGAAAAATCATATATGAATTAATTTTCACCGAAAGCCGAGTTTAGCTATCAGTGATTTTTCTTTTTTAAATTTAATTGTAAGTGAAAAATAGTGTCAGAGACAGAGTCTGCCTCGCAGCCGCTTTGTCAATGATAATAATTCTCGAATGGAAAATGATATGTGCACACCCGGGTGTGCACACTCTCCTTTGGAAAAAAAAAAAACCCATCATCACCCGGTCCAATTTTTTTTTTTATGTGGGGGTGCACACTCGGGTGTTGAATTCAGGTGTGCACCAATTAAGGTCCTTCTCGAATTCCTGGGAAATTTTTTAACGACAGAAGATTTGTCGG